TGAATGAAACTAAAGTTGGACAAACAGTTTCTGAATTTGTCTGAATAATTTCCTTGTACGTTGTACAGTTTATTTTCTGAAAGGAATCAAATCACCTGTTATTGTGGAAATATAAGTGGAGCAGTGACATTAGTCCTAGGAGGCAAAGTACACCGATAAGGAGTCACATAGATATTGCAAAGACCTGAAAAATCAGGACAATCTAAACAGGTGGTCGGATGTAGAGTTGAGCCACTCATCATCTTGAAGATAAAGTGAATTTGTTTTTAAAACTTTATCAGATCTCTTAAAATATAACTTATATACTTTCATATGTAAATTTTAAAACAGCAAAAACTATATTGAGTTTAGAAAGTGTTTTTCTGATGATTTCCTAGCAGGCTCCTCTGAGTGAGTACCGTACTTAATTAAAGATAGAATATATGAATTGTAGTCAGCCTTGTTTTGTAACTGACTGCTCAACAATGTTGCCGTGAATTATTTGACTCATTAAACTTTGAAATAACATTAAAATTTGAATGATTAATCCTAGTGGACTTAAAGCACATGCTGTTCCAAATTCTAAGTTTGTTTAAAACTGTAGAAAATGGTAACTTAGTGATACAAAATTGCAGCAAAATTCAACTGTATCATTTTTTAGCCTTTAATTACTTGCTACCTAATATTCATGCTAATGTTTCTTTTTTTTAAATTTATGTTTTTATGTTGTCAGTACGGTTTTAAAAGAATGGTTACAACTTTACTATTTTTATTTTGGAAACCAAACAAGATATAGAGGGGAATATAAATATATAATGCTGCCATTATGAATTGTTATGGTGGTTGATTAATATATTTCTTGTTATAATCAAAAGTTCAATGAAAAGTCATTCAGATGTTCATAATGACACACCAATCGAGGTGAATCAAATAAGCATGGGGTTTTCACTGGGAGTAAACAAGTGCTACATTAAACTTAATAGCAAAATATTTTGAATACTTGGGAAGATCTAAGGTCTAGTATTCTAAACAAGTACCAATCCCTCCTTAGAGAGAAAAATTAAAATATCTATATATTATCATTTTAATTTTATGTGTATTACTTTGCGGTTGGCCCAAAAACACCAAAATTTCTAATTAATGAGCAACATATCCACTGCCACCATCAAAGTGTGTATTGAGGGGATTGCCATTTATGATAGTGTATAATATTATGTTTATACTCAGTATGACTGGACGTTTATTCTAAGTAGAGGATATATTGAGCAACAAATCGAATTATGTGATTAAGGTAAACTAAATTAGAGTTAGGTTACATTCATTTCACTATTAGATTAACAAATTTTTATCATAGAAATTAGAAATGCACAGTTTATGTAGACATAAAACTAAAAAAAACTGGAAACAAATAGTCAAAGGATATTTTAGGCTGGAAATCGTTGCATTGCCTATGGAAATGGGACAGAGGTAGCTGCTAGATGGTTTAGTGCAAGGGGGAGGCACTGTCTAGCATTTTAAGTTTCACCATCCTCAATTTTAAAGCTTACAATTTGACGCTTAGATGTGCAATTTCATTAAAGATTAGGCTTACAGCTTTTAACATTTTCTTCAACTCTAGTGGAGGGGGGTGTAGAGCTCTTTGGAACCCCCTGAACTTTGTAGAGCTTTGTCTCCCTATATATGTGTTAAATTGGGTTAATCCAGCCAACTACTTATGGGGAAGCTGTCGTGGGGTCTTACAAATATAGAAATTTTTGAGTGTTCATGGCCAATTTTTGCAATAAAAATATATTTTTAACATAAATACAGTTGGACCATTTCGGTTACCTACAATTTCTAATTGCATTTTCTTATAACTGTCCCCTCTAAAATTAATAATATTTAAGCTATGAAATTAATGAATATTTATTTAAGCATACTTTTCTTGTTGCCTATGCTATAATTGTTTCCCATTTGAGCAGTGGCGTACCAAGGGGGGCGATTTTTTTATATTTTTTGGTCAGAAGCAAACTTCAAGCGACAATATTGTAGCTAATGAGATGATCTTCAGCATGTAACCAAGCAATTTCAAATACAATTTTCTAGTCGTGTGTAATGGAGTAATTAGTAACGCAAAGAGGTTCTTTATAAATCGCGCCGCGGGCTGTTCTCCCTGATTCCGCTGATCTTTTCATTTACGGTACTCCCAGAAACGTTTTGAGTACAACTAATAGTTATATTAAATACATTTTTATTACAGGTAACACATAAATAAATACTGTATTATCACCTTCTAGATAAACTATTTACATACAATGTTACCGTAAATTAAAATATAAAATGTAGACTATATAGAGGGACAGGGACTGGTAATCCCCCTTTGTTTAGTTGTAACAAGGGATCGTTTACTATCTTCTTTGTTTGGTAATTAATGAGAAATTTCAAATATTAAGGTTCAGAGCAAGTAATTGATTAGGTCATAAATACTAAACCTAGGAAGTATTTAATTTAAAGGCAATAACAAAAATTGAATAATAAATTTACAAATGAAATAGTTAGTCGTGTTCCTTTGACAATATGAGTATTTGTATAATGTTGCAATGACACGATTAGTAAAATAGAGTGTTTTGAGTGCCATTGTTATTCTGTATATGTTTTAAAATTCATATCATCACACATTAGAGAAAAGGGTTTGGTTAATAATACTAAACAGTACTTCTAAGAATATGTTTTACTGCCGACAATTGTGCTTAAATATAGTACAAAGGTTGCATTACATGTAGTGAAACAAAACCAATTTCTTCAATCTCTGCCTTACACCTAACTTATTTTTGTTACATTTATTCATAATGTTCCTAGTATTGGTGAAACAAACGGTAAGAGTTTGTAAAACAGTGTCCCTAAAAGTTTCATTCATGGGCGGCAGCCCGGTACCGGTATTGATATTTATCTTCTATTCTTCTGCAAATAAATGAAATATATGATCACATCCATAAAATAGTTGTATTCTTTAACTTATATTAACTATTAAAAAAGGTTAAAATTTATTTAGCTTTACAATGATCGAGTAGCAAAAACAAAGAGTTGCTGGACTGAGGAGGTTGGTGCGACATAAAATCAACCTCGTCGCGCTATTAATCACTATACTACAAACAAACTACACACTTAATTGTAAATTGTTTGATCACATGTTAAAAATAATCTCTTCAACTACAACTTTGTCGCTTAAAGTTTTCTTCTGGCCCAAAAATAAAATACTTCCTCCCATACTAAGTTTTTCATATCACAATGTAGAAATTGTTGACTCTTTTAAACTATGGAAATTCTATTTCAAATCAAAAGTAAAATTTATCTATACCATTACATTCTGCATTTAATGCAGATTACGAATATATATACATTGTTGTACTTAATCTTTGTTATTGAAGGCTAGGAGCGAGTTAACAACTTCGCGCACTATTCGATGAATTGGCTAAAATCCGCTGGGTCCCACATGATGGTGGGGGAAGGCTGCCACAACGGCGCGCTTTCGTGAACACGTACCTAGCATTCCAGTTGTGTTATATACTTCGATGGTTGCCGAGGGCTACGGCCTGGGGAGGGGCCTCAAAATAATGTTTTTCTCTCCTAGAAAATAAATTTTGCCAATAATCTGTTAGAATTAGGGGGGTACAATATTAACTTTCCGAGTCGAACTTATATCCTCAGAATCGCCGAAAGCATCTGCAATCACTGAAAATCCGAAAATCATGACTGACAGCGAGGATGAGGATTTTAATCACAGTGGCGGATCCAGGACAGGCCAAGGGGGGGCTTAGCGTTTAGGGGTGAAAACACTGGGGGTTTGGGGTATGGTATTTTAAAATGTTTAATTCCTTTTGATAGCAGACATGGCTTTCGTGCTCCATCGACTGTTCTAGAACGTTCAATCCTTAACTGAATATGCTCGTCTTTTTTTTTTTTTTTTTAATAAATTCTTAAAGCTTCAAAATGACAAAATTTTAAAGGAACCTCCATCTTCACCGAAATTAATGTGAGTGAGTAAGTAATTCAAAATGGCTTCTAGAAGTAACTGTTCCCTTAGCATTATATTTTGCAATACTGGAACGGGTTGTGACGTCATTTTGACGTATTTTCTTCCTACCGTTACTATAAATCATATAAAAAATTAGTCTTTCAAACGGCTGGCAGTGATCAAACACTGCACAACACGTTTTTAGGTTAGGTTAAATCCAATCCAATCCGAAACGGGAAACGCTGTATGTACGCTCAGCTGATCGAAATCGAAGCTGATCGGTAGTCGAAATATCTTTAAGTGTTGCCAACTTATTTTCAAGCGTACACGGATTACGTGCATAATAAAAACACGGTTGTTTGGTTGGAATACTGGTGTGCGCCAAAGTAAAAACTGTGTGCCAAAGTAAGGCTTTCTGTACTATAATCTGTGCAGGGAAGCCCACTTTGTCGGGTGACTTTAGGAAAATACTTTTAGTTAATAAGCTTTAACGACAGGTATTTGGTAACGTGTTTTGTAACTTAAGATATCAGTGAAAATAGCCGTGATCTTAAAAACTTACCTTCTGAAATCAAGTGCTGTAGTATTTTTTTTTTTAAAGTTGCATTACATTTTTTTATAAGAGCACAGTATATAGAATACACTACCTTATCATAAATATATATAGGTGTTTTACAAGATTTGTAAAATTGTTAACGACTATTTTAAAACTGCTGTAGTTCATAAAAGTGGATTTTTTTGTAATTTAGGGGTTTTGATGAAATAGGATTTTTTACAGTGTCACCTAAATTTCAAGACTTGATATTAGGCTACCACATTTGTAAGTTGCCTTTTATTCATCTTGTTTTGGGATTGGCCAAACTGGGCTTCTGGTTTGTGGTGAATGAGAATGATGTGTGTGCACTGTGTTGTTTGTTGTTTGTTAGTGTAGTGGCAGTACTGGTAGTGTGTGAGTGACGTATATTGACTATTGACAGAAAATCAAAAAGTTATGTTATTGTTTGGGATTGGGACCCAGAGACAAGGGACTTCTTAGTAGAGTAAAGCAATTCTATTGAATTTGCAGTTCGTTGCATGGGAAATATGTCATTCTCAAAGTAACTTATATATTTTTTAGCTACTGTCTTGATTAAAAAAAAGTTATATATATATATTGGCTACAGTCAACTTGTAATTTACCTTTTTTCTTGATAATCAAAATTGTAAACCCTAGTGTTCTGTAGACCTAGCTATAACTGGATGATTTAGTTTAATTTGGGCATTACCATAATATTTTACCTACAAATAATGCTCTTCAGATGTACTGAATGTAAATCTGACTGTTCTAAATAAGACGAATGGCGATAATGTCTGGGTAAGACCATTTATATTGTTTCATGCTGTTCATCAGCAGTTTAGGTTAAGAGTTTCCATCATTATGCTATTATCTGACCAATTCGTAATTTGACATATAATAACACTGGCTAATAGTGTTTTTGCTATCTTATAGCACTACAATTTATTAATTTGTATGGTTAAGTTGACATATGCCTATAATTACTTATGTGACAACTTAAGAAGGTTTAAGTTAAGTTTAATGCCAATAAAGGCCTCTAACCCTTTGAATCCCTAAGGGCTTTTATAGACTGTTTAAAAATCTCGCTTAATTCTAGCCTGCCATGTTTCCCCTCACGTGAACACAAAATTCAATTTGTTATGACACAATACACACAGTAAGGATATGCTAGCCTAAGTTAACTTGGGCCACAGAAAACATACTACAGTCCAACCTCAGTATAACGAATCTGAAGGGACCGAACTGAATATTCGTTATATCAAGGATTTTGTTAAAACGAGGTTCGTTATATAGAGGTTAGGTTTGCAGGAATTTCGCTAAGTCGAGGTTCAGAACCAGCGTCGGTCAATATAGGTCGGGATTTGACCTCATTAAAATACAATTAAAGTAGCATAGGCTACGCTACAATACTTTACAGTACAGTGTTTACATTGTAAAGTAGAGCCAATTATCCGGCAAAATAAAGGGGAGGGATCTTGAATATTGCGCAATATTGACAATGGCTTTGACCTTGGTACAGGTTAAAAACTGCAAGTTTAAAATCAAAGCTTGTTCTAACCCTCCTAAAACCTAGCCAAACACTGTATTGCGTAGTCATAAACCATGTAAAGAACAAAACAAAACAGTAGAAAGTTTTGTAAGCTAATGCTCGTGATAGGCCGGTAGGCTACTTACAGTACAGTACTGATTTATCACAACAGAGGAATGTCAATAATAATCATTAACTATAGCATTGGTGTTGCTAGTTGAAACAAATCGTATTGAAAACAATAAATTATTAGATAAGTCATTATAAAAGTGTATAATCATAGCCAACTTAAGGATAATAAAAACACTCGTAAAAGGAATGTTAAGATAACAATGTTGCTATTCTTTCTCTTTGGTTTTGTTTTTATATTCTTTCTTAGTTTTCTCTTTATCCGAAAATTGTACAATTCACCATAGTTATCCCATATCGCCCAATCACATCTTACTAAACATTACGTCGTCATCAGTCCTCAGTGAATGAAATCAGTTCAGTTCTCAGTTGCAACATAGCGCGCGCAGCGACAGCAGACAAAGATGTAAAACGGAGCAGACGAATGTTAGCGCAAGCGATGACGTGACCTTTCCATTTCATTTGATAAAGAAACAGATTTTCCCAAAACAATAATTGGGTGGGGGATTTGTTATATCGAGGGAAAGACGTAGACAATTCGTTATGCAGAGGTTAAATTCGCAATGTAGAGGTTCTGACAATGATAAATTCGTTATATTGAGGTGTCTTATTTTAGCTGAAATCACGAAAAATTCGTTAAATCAAGGTCGTTGTTATGGTTTGTTCGTTATGTAGAGGTAAAATATACTTTGTGTCTTATGGAGAGTTCTAGGGGATTAAAAAAAATTCGTTATATCAAGGAATTCGTTATATCGAGGTTCGTTATATCAAGGTTAGACTGTACTATAATCCAGAATGCCAACCGCATGGTAAATACCATTAAGCGTTTTAAAAGAGCTTTGCCTGTCAATCCGTAGGCAGCGCCACCAGTGTTGCTATGCTGAGTGCATGGTAACGCTGGTGGCGCTGCCTACGGATTGACAGGCAAAGCTCTCTCAAAACACTTAATGGTTTTTACCATGCGGTTGGCATTCTGGGTTATAGTAGTATGTTTTCTGTGCTTGGGCCAAATTTAGCAGAATGCCTCATTTGAGACCCAACTCGCCAAGACTTCACCTAAGTTATCCCATAATTTTCCACCAGAGTCATGCATTTTTTTTGTAGATGGGCCTCTCCCACCAAGCTTTTGTCATGGAGAAGACTAACTTAAATAAAAAATCAGGAACAGTTGTGTATGTTATTGTATGATGGCGATCTTTATATTTAGGTGAACTATTCCTGAGTTGTATGCTAGACATGACAAACGGGATTTGAACCCTCAATTTAGGCCTGCTTCTCTCCTCTGATTGGAGAGACAATGCCTTAGACCTATTGGCCAGTAAACAGACATTACAGTCTAGTCTACTGCACTAACAACTCTGGTAAACAAAAGCAGGGGCTTAAAACTCTACTTAGGCTGCAGTGTATTTTGTCATCACATAGCGTTCTGCTATTTTGTTGTCGTTGAATTAGGTTACTTGCACAACTAATTACCTAGGCCTAATTGTAATTTGGATTTTTTGAAGTCATCATCTCAAAATCCCCTATCATATTAAAAAAAGGTGGTTAGAGTGTAGAGAGCATATTTTAAGGGATTTCCACTGGGCAACAGGGGCGCCGTCAAAAAGGGGGGTCTGGGGATTCCCCCCCCCGGATATTTTAGCATAAGAGAAAACAAGGTGTCGCCCAGTTAACATGTTATTTTAGTGATTCATCACAATTTTGGTGATTTGGTGAGCTTGGTTTCTTACGCTGAACCTGAAAATGCCATCGTTAATATCCAAAATAAAATCAAAGTTTAGAAATAAAAAGTATTGAAATAAAGTGTTGACAACACTGTGTAGGGTCCTACAAATTAAAGTGTAAGGTCGAATTTTTAGGTTCCATGAGTGTGTAAATGTAAGTATGGTAATTGTAACCTTTGCTTTCTGTTTTGCGGATTCAGACTGAAAATAGGTGTGCATATAATAATTATCTTTATTAATTAAAATATGATAAATACAAACATTGCATAATTGCTGAGGGGAGAGGTAACTTATCAAGTAGGCTATTCCAAAAATATTTAGCTTCAAGATTTTAAACGCATATCTTAGTAACTTATCAGATATAAAAAGTTGCTATTTTTTTAATTTTATGACAATCAGTGAGATATGATTGAAATACGTAGAGACTTTAGGGTATTGGTGCAGTGCGGAAGTTCACGGCTTAGAGACCAAAAATCAGTTGCTTAAGCTAGTGCATGCAAGTCCTAAAACTTGTGCAAACCCCAAATAACGGAATGCCCAAAAAATGCCCCCAACTATATTGTCTAGTTTAAAGGCATCTGAAGTTTAGTAAGTTTTAATTTTATATTTAGGCCTATTGCAAACATACTTTACCATCCAGAATAATGAAAACCAACCCTAGCTTAAAAACATATTTTATTTCAGGAGGACAAAACGGCAAGCAAAGGTTTTAGAAGAAAACTATTGGGATTGCAGTGTTTGCACTTATAGAAACACGGCGGAAGCATTTAAGTGCCTAATGTGTGACGTACGCAAAGGAACTTCTACGAGGTAAGTTTATGTACGGGGCTCTAGTTCTTCAACTGTGTGTTCCAAGGCTATTGATATTAAAAAGGCCTACTTTACCTGTTAGGCTGAGACTATCTATAGCTTTGTGTGAGTCATGCAGAGGGCAAGGTGTGACTAACTGTTCATTCAATTTTACGATCACGCAGTGTTAGACTTATCTCTTGGTTCTGGTCCTATAAGGACTTCAATTGCAAATATCCAAGAGAGCAATAAGTCATGCCGCAAAGTCCAGGGTATGTAGTGTTTGAATTTGTAACCATAGTAAGTCACACACTTCATTGTACAATAGACCCATATTGCCTACATTGTACATAGGGCCTATATCAACATGTCGATGACTGTAAACTGCACTTGTCATTGAGACAATATTGGCAATTGATCAAACTGAGACTAGGCCTAATCTAAATAATATTTGATGGTATGCTGTACTGATACTGCATGGATATAATAATGGTCTCAAATTCAATATCATTATCTTATATTGATAAGAGTATAATAATTCAAACAGCATCGCAAACTGTGGCAGGAACTATGAAGTGTCTGTATTACAATTTATTTATTCATCCCGGCCTGGTTTGGACCATAGGTCCACTCTTACTACACCAGACCTGACTTAGACAATGTAGGCATACATATACAGTGCATAGTTAAAATTTCAGTTGGTGGCTTGGCAACTTAAACTAACTTATAATTAAAAGAATATTGCTTTGACGAATTGTAAACTAAATAAACAATTTTTCTCAAACATAAAGATTTGCCCTATATACTCATCTCAGGTTTTACTTAGTTTTTCTACTATCTAATGGTTAGAAAATGAAACTTTCTAGAGGCTTCTCTTAGTGTGGTTAGGTGTAGCTCACTTTTAGCCAAAAGGTGAGTTATTTATATATGCCTAGGCTTAGTTTTAGCCCTATTGTCATGTTAATTTATGTTTTACACTTTGACAGAATGTCTACAATCAAAATTATTGAACATTAGTCATCTGAACAGAGATACACATTGTATGTTTATCCTTCCAAACACCGATGTTCACAAAATTCTGTTCACTTTGGCAATAACGATTTATGTTCCAAAATGTACTTCATTTCATTGTTAATTCCTTAATTTATCATACATTATTATATACAAATCTCAGTTAGAAAAAGGGGAAATAGCTTGTGTCCCTAGAGGATAAGTTTATGTTTGTGTTATAATATGAGACACACTTACTGCTGTAGCCACTGGTACCCTAAATGGTACTTGGCCTCCCCAACACACTGCCTCCATACATCTCTGCATCTTGCGTCCTCCTTCTTCTTCCCAAATTTCTTATTTCCTTTTCTACTATCTCATTTTTGGTCTACCAAGGGATCTTCTTCCTTCTGGGTCGTTCTACAGTACTTTCTTTTTTTTAAAGAGTGTCTTCTTTTCTTAAGATATATTCTGCCCATCTCTTCCTTCTACTCCGCACCTCAGCAAAAATATTCGGATCTTAAAATAATTCTCTCAGTTCCGAATTATGCTTTAATCTCCATTGTCCATCCTCAAAAGGTGCGTACACATTTCTGAATGTTTTGTTTTCAAATACTATTTAACTTTCTTTTGATTCTTTTTTTTACTTAAAATCCAATTTGCTGATCCATACAGGGAAACTGGTCTTATATATTCTGAGTTTGGTGATGTAAGTACTTTTAAGCTCAATAATCTGTGGCAAGCCGAAAAACTTGTGTGCTAGCGCTAGGTTTAATCTACATTTTGTATTTCTATGTCTTCGTTATTATAACTACTCTCTATATGAATATATAACTCTCTAAATAAATTTGCTTTTGATCTTAATTTTAAATTGAGTGGAATTGAAGTAAATCTCAGTAAAATAGGAATTGTCAATATTATAGGTATTTATAGATCCCCTAGTAGTAAGGCAGAGATATTTTTTGAGAATTTTGATAGTCTATTATGTAAGTTAGTGTCTAAGCAGAAAATTATTTGTACTTGTAGGGGACTTTAATATAGACGTCCTGAACAAAAATGACCCTGTGACTAAACAGTTTCAGGACATACTCATGACCTATTCACTCCAATGGTCGGTGGACTCACCTATTACTAGAAGGTAGTCGTTTGTTGTTAAATCTTTCCCAAGGCTCTTAACCTCTTCTACTACTTGTTCAAATTGAGCTCCTGACCTGACATAAGAGCAAACATTCAGTGATGTCCGCTGCTCAATCAGAGTTCCGAGGTTTATCCCATGGCTGTCACTTAAGATCACGAGTTTAGGTTTTAAGTTTTTGTGTTTGTTTCAGTATGTTTTCTTATATTGTGTTGCTTATTTTTAGGACCCGTAGAATTTATTTTTTTAGTTAGTGAGTTACTGCCGGTACCCATGAGTGAAGTTTCTTCTGTTGTGTTTTCTTGCATCAGTATGTCATAGTTATTTCTGCTCTCAAGAGCTGGATTGATAGTACTAGAACTAGACACAGTTTTTGATTTCTCTTTAGTTATAACTTTTCCTGCCAGGAGTTATCTATGGATGGATTTCCTGAAGGTGGATAACAGTGTAGACACTTTCTGTCATTCTTTTTTATTTCCTCCTCTAACTTTCTATTTTCGTTTTGTACAATTTGAATTGCTGCCTGAAGATTTTTGATTCCTAACTTACTTTGGTCTAGTTCTTGTTTAAGAATCTTTGTTAAATAGTCTTCTTTGCGAGATTTCTTGAGTTCATCGTTAAGAGCTCTTTGTTGTATTTACTGATTTTCCAATTCAACACACTTATTTGTCAGCGTTAACAAATTTAAATTGTCATTTGAGTGTTCCTCATTTACAGATGTAGGCCTAGATCCACAAGCTTGGTGGGATTTTTTTTTTTTTAGGGTGAGGAGGGAAAATGCTTTTATACGCACACAGGTAGCCAGCCTGTAGTGTGAGACTCCTGAATTTATCAGACTACTCACTAAAAAACCCCCTCTGCTCTGTTGGACACAGACCTGGAATTGTTTGTCACATTACTTCAAGTCAGGCCAACATGTGACCTAAGCCCACAGGGCTCGCACCGTTTCTGGCATTATTATTTTTTTTTTATGACCTACACCGCATCCCGGTCAAGGTCGAGCTTCTTGGCGCGGAGAACACCCTGGATGTAAAGTGACACACAGGTCCAATTGTCCTCACCCTCCATCATCATCGGTATGACCGTGTCCACCGACAGCAGTCCTACGAACTGTTGAGCCTCCAGGTGGGGCCTTTCCCAACGCTGGCAGTGGAAGAAAGTGTGTTCCACGTCATCGGGAATGCCTGGGCAGTAAATGCAATCGGGTGACACGGCTTTGCCCATCCTGAACAAGTACGACTGGAAAAAGCCGTGACCCGTCAGAAATTGGGTGAGGTAGAAGTTCACCTACTCCGCACCGCCGATTAACCCAAGGTTGGACTTACTGTATCAGTCGCCTGGTCCAGAGCCCCCTTGTCTCCTGTTCCCAGCTCTCCTGCCACAGATGGAAGGTCCGGGTGCGTTCCTCAATTCTTGCCTGGTCCTCCCCACGGCGCTGATAAATTGCCTTCCTCTCCGCCACCAAAAGTTTGACGGGGATGACTCCAGCAACCACCAGTACTGCGGGTTCGGACACTGTTCGATAGGCAGATGCTACCCTTAGTGCTGCCTGACGCTGCACTCGGGCGAGCCGCATCCTATATATCTCCTTATTGAGAGCGTCTGCCCACACTTCCGCACCGTACAGGAGCACAGACTGGACCGCATACATCAACAGCCTTCTGCGGCTGGACCGCGGACCTCCGACATTGGCCATTAAACGACTAAGGGAAGGAACCATTTTAGCGGCCTTGTCCGCCGTACAGGTGATCTGGTCTCGCCAACTGAGCTTGCTGTCCACCATGACCCCAAGGTACTTTGCGGCACGAGTGGTTTGGTCTTCAACGTTCCCCACCCTCAACCCATTGATGGTGTCAATCCTCTTTTTAGTCAGAATCACAGTCTCAGTTTTGCTCAGAGCGAGCGAGAGACCATGGGTTAATGGTGCGCATGACTCGATTTAGTTTCAGCTGGGCAAGCTCAATGCTACGTGCAGCTATTAAAGCCGCAACGTCATCTGCATACCCAACTAAGACAGTTTCCTCAGGCATCTCGGATCTCAAGAGGCTGTCGTAGGCGACGTTCCAGAGGTCCGGGTTTAGTATGGATCCTTGAGCAGCACCAGAAGTTACATCCATCGTCCTGGAGCCTTCTGTAGTGTCACAAATGATGAGGCGGTACCGGAGGTAGTCCTCTATCATGCGCATGAGGTATGCCGGGACGTGGAAAGTGTTCTCCAGAGCGTCCAGCATATCGCACCACCTCGCGGAGTTAAATGCGTGTCGCACATCAAGTGTTACAAGCAGCACAACCCGACGAGAATAGTTGTTAAACTCCTCAGCTCTCATTACGGCTTGCTTTACCTCCTCAATAGCGTCAACCGTTGACCGTCCCTTCCTGAAGCCGTACTGACGAGGGGACAGATTTCCTGCAGCAACCACGGCTGAATTCAGTCGGGAACGGATCAACTTTTTCAAGACTTTCCCAGCAGTGTCCAACATACAGAGAGGTCTGTAAGAGGATGGTAGGTCTGGGTTTCCTTTTCCCTTCCCCACGAGCACAAGCCTAGCTGTTTTCCAGCAGAAGGGAAACTTCCCCTCGGCCAGACAGGCATTGTACGTGCTCAAAAGGATTTGTGGATTTATTGAAAAGACTTTCTTCTGGGCCTCACCAGGTACCCCATCCGGTCCAGGAGCCTTGTTGTTCTTCAGGGATAGAACGGCCGCCTCCAACATGGCTGGATAATGGTGTAGAGGAATGAAAGATTACATCTTTGTCATCTTTCCTATTGCTTGGTAATCTTAACCCGCTTGAGGAAAAGGGACTCATTGTTTTATTTGATTTTACAAGCTCCCAAGCATCTCTGATTTCAGATAATGCTCTTTTAAAAATTTCCTTGTGTTTTTTATTACTGACTATTGTGAAATGCACAATGCACTCTATTGTCACAATAGTGACACAAGTCACCTTTGTTTAAATTTGCTGTTTCATTAGATGCAAAGAATTTAACCTTGTATTTGATGACATTTCTGTAAGTTTCTCTATCCACATTAATTATTTTACCTGGCCAATATGGATGGACCCTTGAATTTGCCAAAAACCAAATAATTTTCTTTAAATGTCATGTTGTTGCTAATTTTTATTATTATGCAGATAGATATATTATAATATATATAATATTTTCCATCACTTAATTTTACTTAATCCTTTACTGAAAAAATTACAGCCCTTTATAAGTAGCCCATAATCTTTTAGAGTAATTAAAGAGCTATATTATCATAATAAACTCCCTAAGGACTAGGATTCAAAGGAAACCTCTTATCACTGATAAAGAGTTCCAGGCCTTTGACCCAGGCTGAGAGTTTGAGGCTAATCAGTAATCAGTTTGTGGGATACAACCTTTGCAGTAGTGTGTTATCTCTAGGATGCAATGTAATGTAGCTTATTTATGCTGTTCAGTGATTATATTGTGGTACATTGTTGTTTAAAAAACTCTTCTTTGATAATATTATTATTTTGTAAAGTGCAATAGTAAGTCCTATCTATGATCTGCTTGTAGGTATATTCCTGTGTTACTTGCCTGTATTAGTGCCGTTTCTTAGGTTTATTAGTACTTTAACAGGTTTGTAGTTTTCAATTGCACAATTCAGTTAGCCTCTTTAACACTTTTTTAAAATTTTTTCGTAAGCGAAAGATAGGTTAACTTTATATCCAGTACCTTAAAACCAGTTATTTCCACTATCAAAAACTATTTTCAAAAAGTTATTTACTTAAAATATTTTAAAGTACCATTAAAATCACTTTGATTCTTTTTTTTTAAACTAAATACATTTAAAATCACTTTTAAAAGATTAAAAATCAGATATTGTAATGCCTGTCCATTCAAGTTATCAGTCCAGTTCCATCTCCAAGAATTACATTTAGGCTAGAGTCTAAAAAACTCAATTTTTTTGGTATTCATAACTGCTCCAAGTTTATCCATAACTTTTTCTATTTTCATGGAGTCATACGCCGTAGAAAAATCAATGAATAGACAGCGGAATGATTTGTTGTATTCATAATATTTTTCTACTGATTCCTTTTGTATGAAAATTTGATCGGTTGTTGATCTGAATCTACTGAATCCTGCTTGATGTTCTCCAATAATATTTGCTGTATATTCTTCTCTCAACTACTTTAAGATAATATTTTGCAAGTACAATTTAGAGATGTGCCTCTATAGTTGTTGCAGTCCTTTTTGTCTCCTTCTTTGTAAATCGATATAGCCAGAGCTTCCTTCCAGTCTGTTGACTCCCCATGTTTCATGTACTTAAGCGCCTTCACGAGGGTCGTGAGGACAGTTAACGCAACCTGCATGGAATGTTTTTGAACTAGAAGCTAGTAGTGATTGGTTAAGTGCTTAAGTGTAACAAACTATTGTCTCTTCCCTCCAGACCTTGAGTATTAGCTTAAAATGAAACAAGAGGCACAAGTAAATGTAACGGTGACAGTTATTACAATTATTATTTCTAAGTTGATAATTCAATTCAATTTAATTCAAACTTCTTTATTCATTATTTTGTACAATATATAAATCATTGAATAGTGTCAGGTTGTACAACAACCTTAACAAATATAGGCCTATTTATTTATTTACAGATACACCATTTTTACAGGAAAATGTTCATACATTATTATCCAATGTATGACAGAATGTCATTAGACATATTGAACAGTTTATTTATCACACAAGGCAGTAGGCCTATTTTATAAAGTCTTAAATTACAATTGTACAGACTGACATTTTCATCACAGTAGCGCGGAGCATTGATGTTGAATCTGTTATCTAGATTTAAAACTTGTTACAAGCTACCATTTCCTTAAGAAAAGGCATAATTGGTTCCTACCCTGATCCATTAATTATACCTGTTTTTTTACATCAAATATCATGAAAATGTTTTGGATATAAGATAAACATGAATAAGTCACATGGAATTAAGAAGTTAAAAAACGTGAGCTGTGCCCAGTCTATATTAATCTCCATTGATATGGCAGAAATGCTTTTTGAAGGCTACTAGAAATTTGGTTAGTCGCCAGATTTGGTATGAGTGGGTATTTCCATGGGCCTATTGTTAGGATAGTAATATAAGTTAATTAATGTAAATATTTTAGAGCTTGGCTTACAATTTCTTTTTTTCAGGAAACCTCGAATCAATCCTCAGCTAGCCGCTCAACAGTATGCTCCTGTGATTCCACAGAAAAGTAACAAATCCGAAAATGGCCAAAAAGAAAAGTCTGAAAAGAAAAATTCCCCGCACCGAAGAAGAGCATGGTCAACGTAAGTTTTACCATTACAAGATTATTGCTGATAGAAACTGTGTATAAATTACCACTACATTATGGTACCATCATGGAAAACCAAAATCTTGTCTGTGGTTCTTGAATTAATTCCTGACTGAGTTGCGAATCAAATATAGTTCTGAACTGAGATAATCCTGGCATAAAACTTCAATAATTAAAGACTTGGGTGTGACATTTGATTCCAGATTTATACATATAATGATCATGTGATTTTCATTTGTAAGACTGCCTTCTCAATTGTTGGTCTAATCCCCAGGTTAGGCAACATTTTTACTAATCGGAGAAGTAAAAACTATTATATTGTTCACTGGTCAGGTCAAGATTAGAATATGCTTCTGTGATATGGTATCCTAGTGTGAACTATTTATCCGATCTCATAGAGGATGTCCAAAGAAGGGTCTTGGAGATTTCTTCATTACAAGACATTTGGTCACTATACGACGCTGGTCCCATACTCAGAACTTCTTACACTGTTTGAAATCGATCAGTTGAGTACAAGACGTAAAGTGTCAATGATGTTGTATCTGAGGCGGTTGATGTGTGGTGAGCTCGACGACGCAGCACTGCTGTCCCGTGTGCAGATCACGTTGCCCAGTCACAATTCACATTCGCGTTTGCTCTTCTCCCCCCACTTCTAAGTACTGGTAGGCCAGTTTAAAACATTAAAGTACTCAACGAGGGGACTTCTCGCTCATTTAAAATGGCTAAAAGTTAAAAATGATAATACTATATAATCCCGGAATTGGTCGGCTGAGACGAATCCGAAATCCCGGGATTGGATTGAAGGGCCGGGATTGAGAACCCTAGGCAGAATTATAAGACCTACCAAACGTTTTCATGAATAAACTTTGAAAAAAAAACTCAAAGGGAATGATGTTCAACCTCTATGGTTATTTAATTATTATTTAACCATATGTTTTTTATTTATTTTCTTTACTGATGATGTCTTGTATTTTTGTTTTTATTAAAAACTTTTGGATCTTTTACGTTTATCTAAATAAGAAATAGAACACTCTGCTAACCTTATTATAACTTAAGTAAAAGCAGTTCAGTTGTTAAGATTTTAACAACAAAAAAACAATATCAACTTATTTTACAGCTAGGGGTGGTAGCTGTGGGCACAACGAGCATCGCCTGGCACAGTTGTGCCAGGCCCTTCTCTTGCCAACAGTTTTTATTTTCATTCGAGCCTCTCACTCCCCTCTACTACATATTTCACCACTGCTCATCAAGGTCGTTTCTTCTTTACAGTTATTGTTGCCCAAGGCTACAAATGCAAAGGTTGCTTAGAAACGGCGATGCTCGTTGTTCCCACAGCTACCACCCCTAGCTGTAAAATAAGTTGATATTGTTTTTTTGTTGTTTAAATCTTAACCTCCTCTAAACCCAAGGGTTATCCTGAATTTTTTTTAACAAATTTTAATTTTTAGGTTTAAAGGAACCATAAAAAAGATGTAGGCCTACAATACAACTATTTTTTTTTAATTTGGAATATTTTTATGAAAACCCTAGATGTAACCTATAGGTCACGTTGGGTCTAAAATAAAACAAAAATAGGTTGTCAACGAAATAGATGGAGGCCTTTAATATCATAATAATTAGACAAAAAAACTCCACCAAAGTATCTAAAAATAAAACTGAAACAAAAATAACCTGTAAAATGTTGTTACACACCAGTAGTAAAAAGGCAGTAAAAGTTGAATAAAATGTAAAACTGCATTTTTTAGTACCAAAACAGATTTCTATGGTAAGGTTCAATGTCACGAAGCATAAAAAATGAAGAAAGAGACATCCAATGTAACCCTCAGGCGGGTTACACTTCGTTATCGCAGATATAATGTCGCCGATATTACTGATGTCGCGGGCATGATGTCTGCGACATATAATAAAATACAACCATGGGAAGAGGCACGTGCTGGCGACATGAAAGTGAAGGAATCACAACATTCATAAGTTTAAATAATGTCATCGTCAGAAGAAGATGACGTGTTGTTGCTGTTGTTCTTTCTACAAAAACATTAAAGATAACTTCATGGTAATTTTTCCAAAATACATTGTGATTAATTGTATTACAGTACTTACGTAATTTCCTTATGGTGTCAATTGAAGTATTATAATATCACAATCTTAAATTTCACACCATAAGGCAATTAAGTAAGTAAAAAAGCCCCAAAACTACTAGAAACGTGTTCTGCGCATGGTTGGTTCGCTCGAGACACGCGCCTGCGACACGAGTCGCAGGCAACGTGTCTGCGACACTGGTGTGTAAAGCTCCATAAGTTAACATAGATTGGTTTTCGAGGGGCATGTCGCAGGCACGAAAAATATCTGCGACATCATGTCGGAGATACCTCTGTGTAACCCGCCTCAGGTTACAATTAATTTCAAGTAAATGTTGTAATCAAGCCAAATAACTCAGAGTAATCAAAACTATACCAGGACAATCTCTAGTGTTTCTAAATGTCATGTATTTTTTATAAATACAGTAATATAAATATGTATATTTTTATATATTACTTAGTATGTGGAAACATAGAAAGATCGTGCAAGCCACGGTCCGTCATCTATGCGAAGTTATGAAAACTATAAACAAGAGAAACAGACTACCAAGCTACATTTCTGGCAAGTGCTGCACTCATTCGAATCCCCTGGCAACTATTATGACTAGAAAATAATGCACTGTATTGTTTAAAAAAATAAAATAAGATTGTAACCCTAGGGTTACGCTGGGTCTGAGGAGGTTTTAATAAAACATTTGCTTGCGTAAGTGATAAAAAATATTTGTTAGATAGAGTGGCAGAGCAGTGTGCGTTATAACTTATAACCAGCACCGTAAAGGTCAGCGTGTGATGTCATGCGCTTGAGCCCCCTTTGGATTGTGGATTCCAATCACATCGCTACCTATTAGTTAATATCCATCTATCTAATGGTGGTTTGTTGCTAATCTCATGGTGAATTTTAATACAGTAATTGTAATTGTTTCTTTTTTCTTGTTTTTCACTTTATTGTTTTTATAATTGTGTCTAGCGAGATCAACACCTTTGATTACTTATTGCTCTCTCGGCAACACCGGTTTTGTCTCTCGTGATCGCTGCAACATCTGTGAACATATTTTGCTATCTCGGCAACTCTGGTGGTTTCTCTTCAGTTAACCAACGTTTCGGATGACTGGGCTTAGAATAATACTGTATTAGCCTATGTATTGACCTTAACTTGGTCCGGGGTCGAAATCACAAACGATTGTGTTGGTGGCTGTCGACTGCACATTGCTGTGGTGTCGCTGCCACACCTTGCCTATGACAATATCTTTGCTTATTATTTGTGTTTTGTTTTTGTAATACATACTTCGTTGGTCCTTTAGTCTTCTCTAATGCGATGTCATAATACTGGGATACTGCCTTTACTTAGCCTAAGACACCTGACCTACAAAAAATATGCAGATATGACTGTAAAAACCATGATCAAACCTTATTAAGTCTAACGAATTACCTTAAACTTGTAGCTTGTAAGGAAGGTCTTTTTACAGTGAAATATAGGCTTAGAAATATATTATATATATAGCTTTGATTTCAAAATAAGAAGGTTACAATACCTGCAGACTGCCTTTAGTGGTCCTTAAATATCCAACAGGATTACGCGTTTCGGTATTTGTTATACCATCATCAGATCCATATACAAACTTGAAGTTTTTGACTCATGATGTCACGTCACAGTTTTTAAAACACAGTTACAAAACATTTAAACACGAAAAACTATTTACAGTAGGCCTACTAATTAAAAACGAGAGACAAAAGTGAAGCAATGCATGCATTTCAAATGTCGAGTCTCAACTGGAGGTTATCTTGTCCTAGTAGTTGTACTTTACTACTACTAAACAAAGTAAAGTAAGTAAGTAGTTGTTTGTAAAGTACAACTACTAGGACAAGATAACCTCCAGTTGAGACTCGACATTTGAAATGCATGCATTGCTTCACTTTTGTCTCTCGTTTTTAATTAGTAGGCCTACTGTAAATAGTTTTTCGTGTTTAAATGTTTTGTAACTGTGTTTTAAAAACTGTGACGTGACATCATGAGTCAAAAACTTCAAGTTTGTATATGGATCTGATGATGGTATAACAAATACCGAAACGCGTAATCCTGTTGGATATTTAAGGACCACTAAAGGCAGTCTGCAGGTATTGTAACCTTCTTATTTTGATTTGCATGAAGTGGCCTAGAAAAACAACTAGAACATGAAGCTTTGATTTACTTCATAACCAGTTGTACTAATGATTTCAGACCCAGACTGAAGAATGTTGACCGAAGTACAGCCCAGACTAGAGAGGTTACTGTGAACAACATTACAGTGTTGATCACAGAGTACAAACCCAAAGTAAACAACTCACAGGATCAGTTAGAACAAAGCAGTGTATCTTCTGAGACGGGGAGCCACTCAGAGTCCAGCGCTGATGCACAAACTGATACAGATTCACCAAGCTCTTAGATAATTCAACCTACCTGTTGAAAAGCTTTCAGATATGTAGACAAATTACTTTAATCTTTCACATGATAGCTACTTGCTTTGTAACGTCTATTTCTCTGACTAAATTAATAGATCTTCTATAAAAATCGAGGATAATGTATAGATAACATGGTTTTAGAAATTTTGATGAAAAGGGATGAGATGAATAAGTGCTTTCCGGTGAATTCATTTTTTAAGGTATTTTGATTAATGTACAGTAGAGTCTAGCTAATCTGAACCCTGCTAGAACGATTCCTCACTTAATCCGACTGTGTCATCACCTATCAGTGACAATGTTATCATGGTAATATCGTGACTATTTGCTATGGTCGTGTGGAGATCATCACAATCTCCGCCAACATCTTGTTCACCCCCACGATTACGGAAACATTCATCACCATCCTCCGCGATTGTGGCGTAACTTTGAACGTCTCCAACAGTCACCGGAATATTATCATTGTCTTCCGACAATCAATACGTATCAGCCCCTGTTGAGCAATTAATTCGATAATTTAAAATATATGCTCCTGGTATAATTGGACCTTTTGACCATTCCAACCATGGTCCCGGTCTCGTAGGTGACGGATTCGCGGGGTTGTACTGTTATATATCTGATTGTAAAAATGAGATGATTAATGTTTAACCAACTCAACTCTACTATCATTATCATTTTTTACTGTTTAGCAACATCACTAGATTTTAAAGGGTTTTGCCAGTCAAAAATCGAATCCCAGACTGAGCTGTATTATTGACTTCAAATAAATACATAAAATATTTTTTGTTTGAAACACATAAGTCTTCATTAAGGGTATGGATTAAGTAGCCAATGCTATATTAAAAAAATTTCTTCTATGAATCTATTTGTTTATTTTATTTTGGTGTGGTTTTAATGCATAGGCCTATAAGGTTTTTTTCATTTTATTCGTTACATTCTACTTCTCTTTTGTCAATAGATGACTACAAATCAAATTTGATTGTAATAAATATTTGTATTTGCAACTTTAGCAGAGCTGTAGAGATTAATTTTTTTTGTATTTAGTTTTTACTAAATACTAACCCTAATTGAGGATTATTTTTTATTGGTATATTATTTATTATTTTAATGATATGGTGCATGTTTAACCAAGAACGATTGATCCTTTTTGAGGTAAAGAAGATTTGACTGCAAGTAATCAGTATTCAACTTCTTTTGTTTCCGTTCAGTGTTGTAGATATGTATATACCATACTTAGGCTCGGATTGGAATCGTTCCCTCCCATGGGAAGTAGATAAGCAACCCTTTAAAATATTGTTAAATTTACTTTCACTTCATCTACCTAGTTACTTGTAAATAATCATAACAATTTCAGTTCCTGAGCTTATTTTTGTTATTATTGTTTGTGGTTTTATTTTCTTTGCTCTCGAGTATTTAAAACAAACAAAGAAAACAGTCTTGCAATTTACTAAGAACATGAGTTTGATTTGAAGGGTAACTATGTAAAAAAGGGTTAATCAAACTGCATTCATACACATGCCAACAGCTCCGTTGTTGTGTCATGTAAGTGCCTGTATTCTAGCCCTCTGTTTTTAACTTTAAACATTTTTTCACACTCTTAGGAATGTTCTCATAAGTGAACTTAGTTGTTTCGTCCATTAAGGTAAATCTAAACTTTGACCTAATGCTTCACACTGCCATACGTATTATTCTTGCCACATAAATTTGTGAAATTTAATACCAAGTGAAGTGACGTTAACATGTAAAACAAAAGTAGGATCGAGTTCTGATACATATTATTTTGATTATGGCCGCAAGTGATCCAATAACAAAAACACAAATTAAAATTTATGTTTACTAACTAAAATAAATAGTTGCTTAATCATGTTTGGATACCTCCAAATGTACCTTCCAAGTTACGAAAATCAAGAAGAGTCAATGGGATTAAGATTTTAACATTTTAACATCTATTATCAATTCAGCAATCTATCTCATTCCATTGATATTTTGTTTTAAAGTTAATACTCTCCCACATTCATTCGTGTTTGTATTTTTAAGTAAGCTAACTGTATGCCAATAATTAATAATATTATCAATTTCTTAGTGAAACTTAAAATTTTAATGCACAATTGTTTATTGGATTAGTGTTGCTTCTTTCTTTCAATCAATCAATCAATAAATCAAAATAACTTTTTTCGTATTGCAAATTGTGTACAGAATGGAGTCAGTTATATAAAAAAACTATATTAAACCTAAGACTACTTTACAGAGAATATTGTTATTATAAAAAAATCAAATTTCAGGAAGTTGGGAAAAATCTTCTAATTTATAAAAAGGCCTTAGTGAGAAATAATTTTAAAAGTTTTTTAAATTATTTAAAATTAGTTATATTTTTTATATTGTCAGGTAAGCTACTAAAATATTAATACCACTATAAGATGGTAAACCGATAAATTATGTCTGTTGAACCCCAATTCACGACCATTTCTGGTCGAATACTTATGATAAGAGTTCAATTTTGGCAATCTTTCATGGTTTGATCTAATATAAAGGTCTATTTGAAAAATGTATAAGCTAAAAACAGTCATACAGTAGACTCACTCTTATCCGGACTCCTCGGGACCGAGGCCAGTCCGGTTAACGGTTTTTCCGGTTTAACCGACGTCCCCAAAAACTTGTTAAAACGGACCGTTTTCTGTGGTATTCGACTTAAATTTATGAGAGCATTGTATTTAGACACGTGATCATTGGTCTCAAATCTTTCCCACAAGAGCAGCTGTTTCAGTACCGCCCACTTCCTGCCAATCTAGTCCGGTTAAACCAATGTGCTGATAAAAATTTTCTGGTTAAAGAGATGTCATTTCCTCCGAGTGTAGTCCGGTTAAACTGATGTCCGGTTAAAAGGTGTCCGGATAAGAGGGAGTCTACTGTAATTCCTATTTCTTTAAAGTGCTCTTTTGTGGTTTATTTTAATTTTAGTTTTAACATGATGCGAAATGCTTTTTTCTGAAGTTCCAGAATGCTATTTAAGTTCAAATTTGATGTGACCCCATAAAGACACAACCCAAAAGAAATGTGTGATTCAATTAAGGAATAATATACTATTTTTAAGGTTTTCTAAACTACTAAATTTTAACATCTGTCTTAATGCATATATGCCTGAATTGACTTTTTTAGAAAAGTTTTCAACATGACTGTCCCACTTGAATTTATCATATATATGCAATCCCAGAAATTTTATTGTTTTGGTTTAACTTTATTTAGTAAAATTGTATACATTATAATATTAAACTTAGGTGCATTTTTGCTTGTCAAATAAAAAGCTAAATAATTAGTTTTTATTGGATTCGGTAATAAATTGATTTCATTTAAATATTGGATACATTTTGTAAGCTCAACAAAAGAAGAGACTTCCACATCAAAATTTGAATTACCGGATATTTTTATATTGATGTCATCAGCAAATAAACAAACACGATTAGGAGATTCTATCAATGAGGGAATGTCAGTCAAGTAAATTAAGAATAATAGTGGCCACAATATTGATCCTTGAAGGACACCATACTTGTGTGTCCTTTTTTGTAGAGTAAGTGTAAGTAATTAATTGGTTATGGCTATTTATGTGATCAATTGTGACATACGCCTGCCTGTAAGATAAGATTTAAAGTTTTATTTCTTTGATAAAGTAGGTAGGCATTGGAAGCCTTGCATTGTCAATGGCGAGACTGTCATTGTTACGATCTTTCATCACTGTTATAGAGACTGATTTTTCAAGTATTGTAATATTTTTTGCCTTTGTATGCTATAATTACGGGGTTACTACAGAACTACTTAGTAAATAGTACTAAGAATGTTAAAATTCATGGTATTCCTTAAATACTAATCTCAAAATCTCACTGAAGCTTGGATTTTGAAATTAAATTGTTTGTAAATGAGATGATAAAATTATTTTATATTTTCTCAACTCACAAATCTTTGCTGTGATTTTTTTCAAGTGTTTTATCATACCTCAATTTGCTAGTTTCCATTTATTTGTTTGCAGTTCCATGTGCTCTAATGCATCTTTTTGTTGTTCAGATGAATGTGGATCCATGTTCTAGTAGTAACCCCAGAAAATAATATTGTTGTCCAAGAAGATTTGTACATCGATTGTTTATTTTAATTGTCATGGGCTGTAAATAAATTAGACTTTGTTGTTTAAAATAAACTCCTCAGAAATGACATACTATGTTTATTACATTACCATGTCCTAGATTATTTTTCACATAGCATAGTTAAATGGTTATTCCTTGGTTAAACAATAATATCACTTGGAGTAGACAACTACATGGTATAATTGGACGTAGTTATGCAAAAAGGAACCAACCCACAATTTTTCGGATCTGTTGATATGACAACCAGGTTGTAGAGCTCAACAGGCTTTATTTTCTACAAAAAAGAACCAACCCACAGATAGATACAACTTTTTTTTATAATTATTTAAAATTACAGCTGTTTAGCTTTATAGGTTTTTGCTTTCTACAAAAAAGAATCAAGCCTTTTGGTTCCTATTACAGTTAAAATAGGAGCAAAAGTGATGGTATCATGTAGCATGATTCTCTTTTGCAATTAAAGGAATTATTAGCTATATGGCAACCAAAGGCTTTTGGTTCCCTTTTGCAAAAATAAGGAATTATCAGCTTCATGACAACCAAAAGTGCTTGGTTCCTTTTGTCATTTTTTTTCTAAAATTAAAAGATTTGAAATCATCTTATAGGCTACCATAAATGCACCATGAATTTTATAAAAAGTTGTTTTACGATCCCAATATTGAGGATGACATCGATGGTTTTGGCGGTGAACTAGATTTTGAATTTGCAGAAGATGAGAGATGATGAACTATTGATTATAGTAACAATTGTACCTGTAATATTAATATACTACAGTAATTTTATACTGTAGTGTTATCGTAAATTAAATTAAAATATAGTTTTAATAAGACAAATACTTTATTAAGTAGCTTTTACAATAAATCAAGATCCAGCATGTTTACCAACAAAAACTAAAACAAATAATATTCTAACACCATATGTTTCCAAACACATATGAATAACAACACATCTCCCCTTTAAAGATCTAACCTCCGGGTAGGTTTGAATTGTCTCGTTGATCTTCTTAGATTCGCTAAAGGATTTGCCTGCGATGCCATTGCAGGATGATCGAAAGGTTCTGATCTTCTCAGGTGTTCTGACGGACTGGTCTGCAGTGCTGGTTGAGAGTGCTCAGAAGGCATAGTAATGCTAAATCTTTGCAGTGATCTTCTGTTCCTCCGCAAACAACCATCTTGCGTTTGAATTATATAGGATCGAGGTGCATGGTGTTTGTTTAATATAGTTGCTTCTTGATTCCTGTCCTTTATGTGGACTTGAGCTCCATCAGGTAGAGTAGGCAATTCTGTGGCTCTATGTCTTTTGTCAAAATAAATCTTTTGACGATCAATTCTTGCTTCTTCCTTTTCCCTCAACTTTTCAGGATCTACCAGATAGGGTCTTAGTTGATCAGACATTATTGGAACATAAGTACGGATCCTTCTCCCGAAAAGTAATTCCGCTGGACTTTTCCCATTTTCTGGAGGGGTTGCTCTTAACATAAGTAGCATTTTGTGGGGATCATCACGTTTGTCTAAGTGGTACTTTAAGTTTTTTACTTGCGCTTCGATGAAGCCGTTGCTTTTTGGAAATTTTGGGCTTGATGTAATCAATTTAAATCCATAATCATGACCAAGTTGTTTGAATTGACAGCAGTCAAATTGAGAACCACAGTCTGCTCTCACTGTCTCAGGTACACCATGACGTGCGAAGATGGACTTTGTATATGTCACAATAGTGCCCATTTTTAAGTCATTTAGTCTAGCAATCTCCATAAACCTGGAATAATAGTCTGACATTAAGAGATACCAGTGACCTTTGCACTTTAGCAAATCGGCACCCACTATTTGCCAAGGTCTGTCCGGATATGGGGTTAATATCAGCGGCTCTGCTCTTGTAGCGCGATTTTCTGCACATATCTTGAAATTTTATACTAGTTCTTTGAAGTAGTATAAAGAATGAAAGTATAAAGAAGTTAGAAAGACGAGGCCACCACGCAGTCAATTTTGCAAAAGATCTACATTTTTTTATGCCTTGATGTCCATCATGACATAGTACATTAGCTTAGTACATTAGCTCTTAGAGAATTTGGTATTATAATACGACTTCCAAAGAGAAGTATACCATTTTGCTCACTTATATCTTCTCTATGATACAAGTAGGGCAATACATCCTCTGGAATCTTAGATTTTTCTGGCCAACCTTTCACACAATACTGTGACACATGTTTTAGAGTTTCATCTTTCATAGATTACATTTTTAGAAGAAGCGAAATATGTATCACATTTTTTTTAAACTGTTTTGATACTTTTTCTTTCCTCAGCTGTCAAATTAAATTATTCAAATATGCTTTCGGCCTTTTCGCCCATCATATATAGTAAGGTGTTTACCTGATACGGTTCGTCTTCATTTGGTGAGCCCAGATACCGCTTGAAAGCGCAAGAAACGGGTTTTCCATTTAGACCAGTTTTCTCCCTTAAAATCAAAATGTTCTGGGGAAGGAACACTAAAACCTTTCATCTTTATGTACTGTATAGCTAAAACAATAAAAAAAACCCGCTGCCACCATGTAGTGTCATCGTCAATTAAAAATAAATTAAAATATAGTTTTAATAAGACAAATACTTTATTAGGTAGCTTTTACAATAAATCAAGATCCAGCATGTTTACCAACAAAAACTAAAACAAATAATATTCTAACACCATATGTTTTCAAACACATATGAATATTTCAAACACACACACTTTTAAAACTATTATAGTATTAAGTAAAGAGTTTTTTAGCATTCAAAAGCCGTAGAAGCTATAGAAAGTGTTGAAGTGTCTGTTTTAAATACGTAATAAATTTATTACAAAAAAGAACCAAGCTACTTGATCACCTTTTTACCCAAATTTACTTTAAAACAAAAAGGAACCATCCCACATTTTGCGTTGAAAATTTAAAACGAACGGTTACTTAAACAAAAAAACTATGCCAAATTAATTTGACAGCATTGTACTTTTACCTAAATATAAAGTATAACTGATATTATAAATAATAGAATTAGAAATAAGCGTTAACTTTGGGTCCATAAATCTCAGTTTTAACCCCCTGTGGGATGGTTCCCTTTTGCATAACTACGTCCAATTATTACAGAGTATTGATGGTATTTGAATTGAATTGAATGGTTAAAAAATTATTTATTTTATTACTTTCATTTTCAATAAAATATTGTCTCAACCAAGAATATATACTTTTTAGTTTGTACTGTGTGAGGTCTGGCGTTTAGTCCTAATAAATCGGCCACCTCCGATGTGAGGTGACTCACCGCACCAGGCCCGATTGGCCCTCGTTCGTCGTGGTTAGCCTTGATGCGTCGTCTTTCCGGTCTCGGCGAATTGCGTTCGCGGCCGACGGTTCCTGTAAATTTTGTCTCAGTAAACGTGGTGGACACCACAACGAGACGAACACCTTCGGCTCGAGCTCCAGATTGATGACCTTGTCCAGGAGGCGTTGAAAGGTCTCTCCGGCGGAATGGAGTCCGAAGGGCATTACCGTAAACTGGAATAGGCCTAACCCAGGAATGGTGAACGGTCAGCTTTCTTTCGCTAACGGCACCTGCCAATAGCCTTGCTTCAAGTCCACTGTGCTAATATATCTCGCCGGCTGTAGTTTCTCTCTGTGTAGCGGATACGCGTCGGGGACAACATTTGTTGACTTTTCGCATATCGATACAAAAGTGAAATTTGCTGTTGCTCTTCCTCGTCAGCACGACTGGCGAACTCCATGGGCTATCCGATAGTTCGATGACACCATTGCGGAGCATCGTCGTCACCTCTTCGTTGATTATGGCTTGCATCGCGGGATTTCTGGGGTAATACCGCTGCTTGACGTTGCGTTTTCTTTGAGCCGTATCATGGGCTCAGCCAACGCCATCTTCTCCAAAACGTCATCAAATAGCGGAAGTTCACGTTCCAGGAATTCCGCAAGTCTTGTGTCTTCTGAGGTCAAACTTTAGAGAGAATATACCGAATAGGACAGGGGAACGTCGTCGTAATAGTGGTGGTCGTCGAAGTTTGAATTCCCTTTGTGGATATCGTGTCTAATCGGTAGTGTATCAGGTCTGGCAATGGTCGTCGGGGTACTTGAAGTCGTGGATTTTGTTTCTCCTGTCATGTCGCTTAAATGTCCAAGACAAAACCGTGTTTTCTTGTCCCTATTCGGGCGCCAGAGATGTGACGTAAAATTCTAGGGGGGAATAAACTAGTATTCACCAAATTCAGGCTAGGCCAAACCCCTAGAACCAGCCGCACTCAAATTTCTTCCCCGGAGTGCTCAGAAGGAACCGAGAAAAATCCAAAGGTCGATACAAAGTTGTCACGGCTTTGACTGATCAATTTATTAAATTAATTTAATCGATGGCTCAGAGCTCTAGAAGCGCTCAGGAAATTCTGCAGACGCTCAGTAGGAGCTATTTCATCCCCACCTTCGTTAAAGTGTTTTGAAGAATTTTGCCTAACTTTTAGATCGACTCTGTAGGACCGACGAGTATTCTATCCTAGCCAATTTAATAAACTACTCCTATTAAACTTTAAACTGGTTACTAAAGGCTCTGGTAAAAAAATGAACGTGTGGCGATTGAATTAACAAAATATAGTGTTAACCCTACAGAGTCGTCGGGGCGTAATTAATATATTTAAACAAAGAATTTGGCGTGATATGGCGTGGAATAAATTTAATACTAATACCCTTTGTAATTAATTGTCCAACTCTGACCACTCCCAAGACTTGATTCTTTCACCCGCCAAAGACGGGGTTTAGAACTCAGACGACGAGTCTCGGGGGGTCTAAAACGTTGAATTAACTAAAATAATTTAACACAATAATTATTTGTTCAGCGAACCAGTTAATCGTAATTTCGTAACTAGTAAATATAAAACCAGCGCTAGTGACTAGTAGGCAGGAACTGGCGGATCAAGACTCAAGTTAAGTTATAAAATTTAGATAATTCGAATCGGGATTTTAAGAAAACAAAAATGTATAATAGGTATAGAATGTGTATGATAAAACGAAAATAACGTAAAAAGAGCATAACTAGTCTTTAGCTAACCTTCGTGATAAATCGACAATCTGCGTAAAGCGTAAGTAGCGTGTAACGACGATGTGACTTCGAAGACAGTCTATGAACAAATATTCTGTCTTGAAGTCAAATCCTCTCACCACAGTCCGGTGGAGGCTTATGCGCTCTAGCGACAAACTTGAGTAATACTAGACAACAGCTGATCGCAAATTCACTTGTTGATCCGGTCTAGTTTTCGTCTGTCGTCTGTCAACAAACACCAGTTTGGGGTTATGTTTTGTCGTCTTAAGCGTTAAATATTGGTGAAATCGATTGGTTTAACTTAATTTGATAAATTGGCATGCTATTACTGATAAATATGTCGTGTGAGTGTGTACATATACTTCACTGTGATTTGAACTAGGCCTAAATTCTTTGGCCCATAGCCCAAGCTATGGCCAACACATAGGCCTAAGAGTAGGGTATTGTGGATGAAAAACGAGTAAGTTTTGATGTTTATTTAATTGTGACACGTTTTACCCCCCTTAAAATTTGGTACCTTACAACTGTGGTACAAGTTTAGAATATGGCACTTTCTGTCGCAAAAACTCATGTAGATTGTGTTTGTTTAGTTGTAAACACAATAAATAACTTGCAACAAATTTGAATTTTTAAAAGTCAAAAAGCTTATGTCCTTTTGTCAGTGAATTAACCCTAGGGCTGGTAATATGATGATTTTCGTCATATGTTTGGGCTTCCAAAAAGCCCATATGACGAAAATCGTCATATAGTGTCACTTTTTTAACAGCTTATAACTCATTTTAAATGATAATTTTGATAGCATTCGAAATATGAGATTCCAGACTTTTATTTTCATAAACAAACCTTATAGCATTAACAGATCAATTTCATTGTCATGAAAATATGAATGTAAATTTAGGCGATTTTGAGTTTGGCGTGTCAATACATTAACCACGTCAATAAATCGTAGCACCGATAATCTTGCATGAAACCGGTTGTGGTTGGTACCAATAGTACGATTTTGTTTTTGAGTTTATTTTCGTATCAAGAACCATGTGATTATAATGTCAGAAATTTTGGGAAATAATATTTAGAAATCGGCTGACATTTGAAATGACGAAAATCGTCATTTAGGCAATAATTAATAAATCAATAAAGGATTGTGGTAGCGTGATGTAATTTATATTGATCTGTAGCCAGAAATAAAAACGTACAATTTGAAATGCACGGGTGTTGTTAACACTGCGTAAAATAGCTATTTCATTGTTGCTGACAGTCACCATTACTGTTGTGCGGCATTCACGTCTAGTGATTCTTGCGTGCAAGCTGTAAATACACATATAATAATTTGTGACTCATTGTTACAAATGTGTTGTTTTGTTGAGTGATGTGATGGTAATTATTATCCATGTTATTTATGGGTAGTGATAACATGACCCATAATAACTTGGATAATAATTACCGGTACTATCAAATTCCTCACTAAACAAAACAATACATTTTTGTAACAATAAAACACAAAGATTCACTAATAAATTATGGGTAAATGATTAGTATTTGTCTTGAAATGTGTGATTATGAAATGTCACATGCTTTTTCAGTGACGACGAAATGTTTCAATTGTCGGAGAAAGCGACATTTTAATTGACCTTGAACGGCGACTTGCCGATGAGTGCGTCTCTCAACTAAAATGCTTATGGAAGCTTTATTTTTATTATTTTTATATCCATAGATATATATTCTTGTTGAATATTTACTGGTGTAAACATTGGAAGCGTCTGGGAAACAAGCATGGCAGGGAAATAAATTTCGACGTAGACGAGGTTGGCATCCCTGTTAAAAGTGATTGTGAGGGTCGAGCGCGCACATCTCTGTATCACCAACAACTCTTATCTATTAACTTCGACCTACAAGATAAGACATAACTGGTTGACAGATATGACATAACTGTAATGTCCTGGGCGATCAAGGCAAGAGCTGAGCTAATCAACCTCAACTTCAAACCAGGCAAGAGCTGAGCTAATCAACCTCAACTTCAAACCGTGGCTTGTAGACAATTGTCATTTGTGCACTCTTTGTAATTTACAAAAGAAAGAAGATGTTTTTCACTTCATATCTGTTTGTCCCATTTTAAATTCAATAAGGAAATTTTATTTTGGCAGTCCAATTTTGACACAGGAGCAATATATAGAGATTTTGAATGGGTGGGATTGGCAAAAGATGCTTGGTTTAAAAGATGGGGGTTAATCCAAGAATTTAATCTGTGAAAATCATTTTTCAAAATTTCATTACTTTTAAAATGTTTTTTTATAATTATTTATTAGTTCCATTAAGGCATCAAAATTGCATTAGTTCTAAGTTAGAAAAGTATTATTTATATACTGTACCAAGAATTGTTGAAATCTATATATAATAATTTGATCAAATATTGCTAGAATGTAGGCTATTGTTCTGTTTCTAAAAAAAGAAAAGTTTACTTATAATTTCATTATTATTCTTTTTTAATTTATGCAAATATATATGTATATAAATCCGTTTTAGAAATATGTCTATTGCCAAAAAATGAATTGTTTTATTATTTTATTTTAATCTGATTTATGAGAACAGTTTACGTTAGTCAATTGTTGTACAAGTGCTAACCAGGTACGCCAACCGCAACAGACGGGCTTTTTGTCCATTGTTGTATTAGTACTAAAAAGTTATTGTTGTACATTTATTTTTAAATAAAAGCACTTTTTCATTCATTCATTCATATATTTGTGTTTAGAAATATATATACTATGAATATTTGTACCATTTATCGTAATATAACAAACAAACAAAAATACAGATAGCGATAGCTTTGACTAACTTATTTCCACTTACAACGAAATAATGTTTTCTTTTTCAACTCATATAAAACTTATAAAACAGTTATTACTGTGCACTAAAGTGTATATAACTATATTATTACATTTACTAATATAACAGTCTTGGCTTATTACAGGTTATATTTGATGTTCTTTCTGCGTTTCAAATAAGTATTGTTTATTTATTGATATTTTCCAATTTTACATATTTATTTCTGTAGATGCGGTAACATTTTTTTCTAAAAATCAAATATATTTCCACGTAGGGAAATAAAATGTCTACATATTGTGGATCTTAGATTTTTAGTTCGTATTTGTTTAGGAAAATACCAGGACTCTACTTTTGAAATTTGTGTAAAAAATGTAACCCAAATTTTAGTTTTTTAGCTATAGAAAAAAATTTACCCCTAGGGATTTTTATTTGTTTTCCTTCTTTTTGTCTACAAAACGAGTATGTACACGACTAGGTTATCCTAAGTAATTTAGACACTGCAAATTAAACAAAAACATCCATCAGGGCAGTCCTACGGTTAAATGGCAGCCAAACATAGTGATATTGTGATTGTTGGAAAAATATGTAGACGTAGCTGTCTACTATACAGCCAAGAGTACCAGCATTCTTA